ATACCTTCTAATGGAATATGATCTGGATCCTTCTGGTTCTCAAGATACTCCAGAGGCATCTGCAACTTAAGGCTCCTTTAAATGCCCCTTGAAATTTCACACTGAATCATTAACAGTATGAACACAAAAATTTACCCCCAGACTCTAAACCTCAGTTAATTTTTTCTGATTTACTGCCTTCCCACTTCAGATACTTCTCTATTTTCCTGCTTGCTGCCTTTATGTAATATGAATATTTTTAATGCCTTGCTACCAGGTATTACGAGCTTATTATTTACCAGGTACTATGCCAAGTGCTTTATACTCATTATCTCATCTAATCCTCTCAGCAGCCTATAAGGTACAGAGGACCTCCCAATTACAGATGAGTAAATTAAGGCACAAATTGGTTAAGAAACTTGCCCAAAGCCATGGAGCTAATAAGTAGCAGAGCCAGTCTTCAAAACAAAACAAAGAACCAGATGAACAAACAAAAAAGATCAGAATGTCTCCAAAACACTGGTGCTTATCCATGCTGTCTCAATGCCTCATAAAAGAGGCCGTGCCCTCCTTCTTACTTTGCATCATCTGATCTTTGAAATCTGGATATGAACTATGTAACATGGCCCTTAACTAAACACACTTAATGACATGGCTCAAGGTGATTGCCCATCAAGCTTTAATATTGAGAAGCCGCTATCACTGGGGACCAGACTCTCTTTTCTTCCAGTGTTATTGAAGCTGAGGAACACATCTGAATAGGCACCATTTGCACAAGGAAGGTGCTCAGCCAGGAGCAATTGCAGGGCTGGGAGAACAGGCCATGCAAGGCAATCTTAGGACCTTAGAGACAGTAGACTACCTGAGTACATTGTCAAACCAACAGCTGGAGAAGGAGCTTCTGTCTCAGGAGAATACTCCAAAGCACAGTCAAAGTGGAACACCAGGTGCAATTGGGTTTTATTCTGGGTGGGCCAGTTTTGAAACTCAAAACTGATAAGCATGTCTGGGAATTTGAAGGACTGACTCAGAACTCCCCAGGCCCTTGGCTATACCATTATGTTAAAGCCATGGAGCCCACAAGCAAGCTGTAGTAATCTTCCTTTTGCTTCCCTGACTGCCCCCTCCTCATCCCCACCCTGTGTGATAGCTGCCTCATCAAGTGTGAATCATGAAACCACATAAACTGCAACGAGGCCATCCTCTTGCCGACTTCTGGGAACATAAACAATAATAATGTAAATACGACTTACTAAAGGCTCAAGCAAAGTGCTTAAAGGAAATCTATATTTTTTATGTAAACAGTCTTCTGTTTACCGATGTGGTATAGTCAATCTACTTAACTCTGGGAGATCTGAAACCAGATTGTCATGGAAGCAAAGGGAAGAACTGTTGATCGTGAGATTATAAAGAAAGGACAATGTAAAAACCTTACTTTGAATGTCCCTTTCCCCTTCTACAATGTTAGAAAACAATTATTGTGAGTGCGAGTGTTAAACTTCTGTTAGGTGATTTGGCTTTAATGTCAGATACCAGCATTCTTTTTTTGCAAAGCTCTGAAAGAGCTCTTTGGAGGGCAAAAAGGTGTGTGTGTGTGTGTGTGTGTGTGTGTGTGTGTGAATGAGATAGAGAAAAAGAGGGACAGCGGTTCGGGGAGAGAGAAAAAGAAGACATCAGAGAAAGAGTTTAAACTCAGACATTGCACCAACCATGGGAAAATTCCCCTTTATTCCCTCTCCCTTTGTCTCAGAGCTAACTATTGATCCTAGATGGTGAACTGCATAGATGGAAAGACAACAGGCCACTTCAAAGTTCCTTACTGTTGCTAACCACAAGTATGTAGGGTTTGTGTTATCTAGGTTAAATGAGAAGCTGCCAGGGAAAAATTCAGACATACAAATCTTTGTGTAAACTACCTTAAGAGTCTTAAGCTGACAAAAGCCAGAGCGAAGTCTGAAATTTTGTCCTCAGAGAACACGTAATCAGGCCTCTGGCTCTTCCTACACTGTAACAGGATTCCAGCAGAGCTTTGGTTTTCCATGAATGCCATGGTATGTCAGGCCAAAAAAGTCTCACTTCGCTCTGTGGACTTCCTTGTCTGACACAGGCACTTTTTCAATACCTCCTGGTATCTGGGTAGATGGGGATAGGTAGCTATTAAATCTTTTGGACAAAAACGGGGAAGTCCACCCACTTGGGTGGAAGGTAGTCTTAACAAGACCTCCTTTCTTACCATTGTGCCTCTCTGTTCTTGCCCATCTAAAATCCATTCTCCTTCCCCTGCTAAGAGATTAAACCAATCACATTACACTTTTAGTAATTTAAGCCTAGAGTAGAACCAGGTTGCAGCTAAATCATTTCCAATGTCTGGATGCTAAAGAATTTTATTGTGATTTTTTGGCTACTATTCTTTCCAAGTCTTTGTAGTCTCACTCTCCCATGTCATCCATGAGCTACCTGATGCCTTTAACATATCCCCTGTCTAGTGCACAAGGTCATAAGAGTTTCTGTTGCTTATATTGAAAAAATCCTAACTAAACCCTCCTCTTCTTACAGACTTTGTGTTAGCAGCTGGGGATTTAATGATGAATGAAGCCCGCTATTCTGATACTTTGAATAAAACCACAGTTTACCTATTCATTCTTTTAAACAAACATTTTACTTGAAGTTTCTACTAGGTGAGTGTTGCTGGAATCCAGTAGTAAACAAGTCAGCATAGCCCCTTGCCTTACAGATCTTGCTATCTATTGGGGGAGAAAGACTTTCTACAAGCAATTACTCTACCACGTAAGAATTTATGAGAGGGAAGGAAGAAAAGGATGGAGGGAGAATGAGGAAGAAGAAGAAAGAAGAGGAGCAGCAGAAGAAGAGGAAAGGCAGAATACAGCCAAGCCCATCTGGTCAATAGCAGGTCTGTAACCTCAAGGCAGGCATGTACTCTGTGTTGGCTAGCCTTTCACATGAGGCTGTCCCTGCTGAGGTTAAATTCCTCATCACTGTGGCCTCAAGGAACCCAAGAAACACACTCATTGCCTTTTTGGTTATTTTATAAACAGTGCTTGGAAACCACGAGTCATTATCACTCTTGGCCAGCCAGTCAGACTTTCCATGCCCTTGTGTGTGATGCCCTTAATCTTCCCAAAGTCAGCAGCATCATTTCCCCAAACCAAGAAAATTGTTTACTTTGGCCATAATCAGGGCAAAGTTTAAGTCTCAGTCTGTCTTCTGTCAGTGCCCAACAGGCTTTAGGCCCATAGTCCAAACATTCATTCCACCATCCATTCTTTTATTCACACATTCAATCACTTATCCTCAAATCTTCCCAAGCTTTATCTGGGTAGCTATTCATCTATATATTCATACATTTATTAATTCACTGATGCAATCATCCACCCAATAAACTCTCTTTTAATCATTAATTTACTTATCAACATCTCCATTTAGCCATGCACTAACCCACCAATAATCAACCTAGTAACTTACCCATTCATTCATGCACAGATGTATCCATCCATTTATCACCTACTCAATCACCCCCCATGTGTGCACTCAGGGCATCTAATACCTTTCTTATTCAATCACCTAATGAGCTATTCATTCAATCTATAATCACCTATTATGATTTAGGCACTGTTGTTGAGTTTGTAGGAATGAGGATGAACAATAAGGTTACCAGTTCTCCCATCTACCTACCAACCTTTCATTGATTGACATCTATTCATTTATTGACTACATAGAACTCCACTCCCGTGGGCACTCAATTGAATACCAGCTAGATCTCGGAAAGATTGGGAGAGAGAAATAGAGGTGAGCTCTGATTCAGGTCCTTGCAATGTGCAATCAGAGCATCAGTTGGCAAGGACTTGGCAAAAGACAAGGCTAGGGAAGTACAGACTTCTAGCTATCAATAAAAAGGAAGAAAATTTGCAATAGTGATATATCAATATAGAGCATAAAGAGATTCATTCTGGTATTAAAGTTAATCATATAAAATATCAATAAATTGGTCTGAGCCTTCCCCTGGGTCAGAAGAAAGTCCCGAAAGTTATCTAGATGAGTAAGACACTGCTATTTATCCATCAGACTATCCATCAACCCATTCATTCATCCACTTACATTTCTATTATTCAACATTTACATCAGGCTCTATAAACCAGAGTTCCATGGATAGGTGCAATCATCTAAATTTGATACGGTCCTACATTCTTAATATCTTCCACTGCTACTGACACATGCAAGTGTAAATCAAATACTTACTAAGTAAATTAATGAGTGTGCTTAGTTATGATTGTATAAACCCAAACTAGAAAAATAGCACATTGATCAGATAATTTGGCTGGCCGATATGAATAAGTTCACTTTTCATATTATTGCTTAATGGCAATGGCAGGATTCATCCTATCTACTTTTGAAAAATTAACATGCCTAGATGAGGCCATGACTAGTTCAGGCATGTGTAGAAGACGTGACTGTAGCTATTCATATACTTTAACACACCACTGGTAAGGGCTAAGGCCAGATTCATGTACTAGCAGCTAATCAGTCATATCTCAGGAATCAGGAGATCCAATTATTTTTGTTCAACACCATTTGATGAGGTTATTAGAGAGACCCTTAATCAAACTGACTAAGTTTGGGATAACTGCACTTACGTAAAAGTGCATAGGTGATGCTAGGTAAAAGGGTGGTGGGAGGGAGTTGCTCGGTGAGTTTGGTTAATTATTTTTTTCCTTTTAGTAGCAGGAAAGAGATAGAGATCCCATTTTACTATTCATTATGTCTTTCAAAAAATTTTAGCCCCTACAATATTCTGGGAACTAATCTACCCACTGGGAACATGGTTGTATAAGCAAGTCAGGAAACTGCCTGACCAAACTCCAGTCAAGTTGTCTGGAGAGGTCATATTGAAATCACTTTATTTCTTAAGAAACAAAAGAGTAAGTCCTTTAAATATAAAATTAGGGGCAACACAACAGGTCCTTAGTAGCATGGATGGGATAAAGAGAGAATATATCACTTACTAGTTCTGTGGTCTTGAGCAAGTAGTCCTAATCCTCAGTTTCTCCATCTGTCAAATAGGAAAAATAGACTTTACTTTACCTAGCTGGATTCTGGTCAATAACCTACAGGAAGAGTCTATTTCAGTATATAAAGAGGGGACCCAATAAATAGTAGCACCTAATTTCTTTCTTAAAGATTATTTTTCTATTTCTTCCATGAGTGACAGAGACAAAGATACAGCACCCTAACAGGGTCCTGAGGCTACTATGCACACCCAGCCTTCAGCCAGCCCTGTGTCATGGGCAAGTGTGTGCCTGGTGTACTCAGGGAGATCTCCAGACTTGAACTGGGAACCTTCCCAGGTGGAATTGCCTCTCAGAGCATTGCATTTTACCACTGTGACACTACCTGCCCATCAACTCCTAATTATTTAATTCTCTGAAGGGTCTCTTTTTATGATTAGACTACTTTCCTAGGGCCATTTATTTACATTTTAAAAACAATCCTCTTCATATGTGTTTGGAACTCTAAACTCTGCAAAGGGCTTCCATATCTGTTACCTCATCTGAGCATCATATCACCATCATTGTTATCATCGAAATTATAACCATTATCATCCTGCAGATAAGAATGCTTAGGCCAAGTCAAATAAGAAACTTTCTCATTTTGTATCAGAATCAGGACTTGAACCCATCATCCTCAGACTCTGAGCCCATTTCTCTTTGTAACAGCAAAGTGTAAATAGCACACTCAACAAAAAACAAAGAAGATGGAAGAGGTAGAAACACCCCCAAATCCCTTGTGACCACTCTCCAGAAGACTTGCTTAGGTGACAAGTGTGGGCTTGCTGAGAAGGCCCAAACACATGTCCTGCTCTAGGGTGTCTGGTTTCTTTCCCATGTATGAGCAGCCCTTTAAGCCTTCCTTTACCCTTCTAAGAGGTTGCTAACATAAGATGATACTTGTAAGTACATAGGATGATGTACGTATATAAGATGGCACAAGCATCATCTTATATGTTGGCAGCCTATTGATGCACCTGAAAAGCTGCCCTATATGCTCAGACACCTACAAGGAGTCTGTGTTTTATTTCACTATTTTCCTGGGTGTGCTTCTATTTTCTTATTTATTTATTTGAACCACTAAATTATCTAATTAGTGACATATATCGTTGACACATGGGCCACTATGAATATTTACTGCACACTTGTTCACACATTTATCTAAATAGCTGGCATGCCAGAGCTATGTAATAAGGAATAATGATTCTTTAGAAGAGTTACAGGAAATTCTAGAAGGGGGAAAAAGTTTTGCACAGTGGGTTGCAGCTTCCAACCACATCTATCAATTCTTTCTGAGATAGAGCAATTGCATAGTAATGACAAAAAATTTATAGTAATGAATAAATCAATACTCAGCTCTGCGGCAGTTTCAGATGTTACTTTTATGGGCCCTCCTGTGTTTATTATATATCCCTTAGCGCTGGGGCTGTAAGTGTGGTGAATGCCAACAGCCACAGGGAGAATGGGAATGGCTCAAGTGCCTGAGAAGATGGTGATCCATCACCGTCTCCTTTCAAGCAGATCCATTTATATCTGGGAGCCCAAAACTGAGCCACTTGCAGTGATCAATGACATGGCCAACAAGTGTTTGTTTTAAGAAGAGGGCTGTCACATCGTGTTGAGTAAAGTGGAAATGCATAAATAAGTAAGCGAACAAATACATAAGCAAACACATAAATGTGGCTGAATGGGATGAATGAGAAGAGAGTGTCGGGGGACCTGGTGGAAAAAGAAATGTAGAAAGAGGGTTCATACCTAAAGTAACAACTTGGAAGACTTCGTTCATTCAGCAAATATTGACTGAGTGCCAACCATATACCAGGCACGGTTCTAGGCAGGGATTGGCAAAGATGTTCTGACAAGGCCAGGTCATAAGTATTACAGGCTTTGCAGACCAGATGGTCTTTGTTGTCAACCTTGGTGGTTGTGCAAAGTGGCTGTAGACAGTACATGAATGAGAAGTCGTGACTAAATCCCAGTAGAACTTTATTTACAAAACAGGTGGTGGGTGGCTTTGGTCTATGGGGAAGTCTTTCTACCCAAAGCCCACTGTGGATGTGTACCAGTGGATTATACAATGATTTGGTAGGTACACAGACATGGTGTAAATAACTTAGAATCACACAAGGAAATTTAATTCCAATTTTAAGTCTCCTAATCCTCTGATTATACAAAGGAGAAAGCCTCTGTAGGGTGTTATTCTTTACTTTCTGTCTAATGTTTGTGAATCTCTTTTTCAAAAGAAGAGTCTGTAAGTCTTGGCAAGAAACTCTTTCTAGAGGCCTTTTACCATTGCTTGTTGCTGAGTTTTTATTTAAAGTGATATGTGTTTGCGTTTATCATTTAGAGAGATAAAATAGCATAAAAGAAGTTTTTTTTTTTTTACTTTGGCACTGACGTTCACGCTAGATCATTCTTTGCGGTGGGGGCTTGCACTGTGCATTGTAGCAAATACAATGAATGGCATTTCTGCTCTCTACTCATTAGATGCTAGTATCATGCCTTCAGTCATGACCATCACAGATGTCCGCTGGAAAAATTCTCTCTGGTTAAAATCCTTTGGACTAGATGAGATCAGCAGATGGCATAGTGGTTACATCGCTGGACTTCCACATAGTTGGCCACAGGCCACTTGAAACTCATGCCGGGCACATGTGCATGAGTACCCAAGATCCCAAGAGGAAGGGAGGAGAAAGGATTGCAGTGTGGTTATCCCCCCTGGGGGTAATTTCTTGCTTTTTGTTTCTCTATGCTTTGGCAAGCACATACGCCCTATAGAAAAAAATCTGTTAAAAAAAAAAAAAGAAAATGATAAAGAACCTTTGGCCTAGAGGATAAGTGTGCAAATGCTGAGACCACAGATCTTACATCTAACTACTGTCCGCTTGGCTGACATTGAGCAACTATTTCATCTTCCTTGCCTCACTTTTTTCATCTGTAAAATGGGTGTGATGATAATAATAGTTTTGACCTCATAGAAGTGTTGTGAAGAATAAATGAATTCATCCATACCAAACAATCATGGAAGCATTGAATAAATATTAGATGCAGTTGTTGATTGCATTAAAAGAAAGTTTTGCTTTAAACATATTTGTTTGCTTAGTTACTTATTCAATTGTATTAATGTAAAGAAAACATTAAATACAGAATCATTTTGGTAGCATAAAGATCTTCCAGAACTTATGAAAATATACTGTAAAAAAAACTGTTGTTAGAAAACTGATACATTGGGAACCAGCAATAGACGTAATGGCCATGTCACTGGACTCCCACGTAGTCGACCGTGGTTCACATCCCAGACCCGGTGGCTTAAAACTCATGCTGGGCGCGTGTGCGTGCATGCCCAAGATCCCGAGAGGAGAATGGAGGAGAAGGGACTGCGGCGTGGCCATCCCCCCTGGGGGGTGACTTCTTGCTTTCTGTCTCTATGTCTCTCTCTGTCTGTCTGGCGAGCGCACGTGCCCTGTAGCGAAAACCTCTCCAAAAAAAAAAAAAAAACTGATATATTTATAGAGTGATATTTGGGCATGTAGACAGATTCTGCGTTTTAATCTTAGCACTATAACTCATAAAAAGGTGACTTTGGGCCAGTTACTGAACTTCCTTAACTGCCAATTTTCTCATGACAAAAAAAAAAAAACCTTTTTTTTTAACTTTAGAGAGATAGAGTCAAGACAAATCAAGATAATTTTCACAGGGATTCCTCAATACAAAGTAGGTGCTCAATAAACATCACTTCTCTCACTCCATTCCTTGATCTTTGTGGTCTGTGACTTTTACTGATTGCCTCAGTTATTTATTGTTTGGTAGGAAATAAACCCCAAACATAGCACCTTGAAACAATTATTCATGAGTTCACAATTCTATGGGTTGGCAATGTAGGCGGAGTTCAGAGGGTGATTCTTCACTGGTCTCAAGTGAGATCATTAATATGGCAGCAGTCTGCTGGTGACTTTAACGGGATGGATGATCCACAATGGCGTTGCCCACATGGCTGCTGGACCTCTTCCTATCTATAGCACTCATTCTCCAAAAGACTAGCCTGGACCTTTTACATGGAGGCTGCTATGTTCCCGAAAAGCAAGAGCAAAGCTGCAAGGTCTCTTGAAGCCTAGACTCAGAAGTCACACCATGTCGCTTCTGCCACATTTTATTAATCAACCCAAGGGTCAGTTGAGATGCAAAGCATGAAGAAGTAAGCTCCATACACTTCTCAATAGTAGTAGCAAAGTCGCATTGCAGAGAAGCATCTATATAGGGAGGTGTGATTCATGGGCCAATTCTACCAGCCACCTCATTGTCTGCAGAGCCATAGTCCACAACATCCTCCTCCCTTATTTTTCCATAAACACTCACATTGGATGCCATCCATGTGACTAACACACATGCATGGGGGTGTCCAGATGTTTGTAAACCCCAAATTGCATGAGAAGTACAAAATACCACAAGAATCCACAATCACCACAACTATTAATGGCACATTGGTTCAAGGTCACTTGCAGTTTGAAGTATTGTCAACAGAAGATGTAGAATCTGTAGTAGTTCCCACACTGCTTTAATTCAGTCTTTTCTCTCACCTTCAAGAATAAATGAGCAATGTGAGCCAGATACTGTGTGACGATTATGAAAATTAACCACAGGTCTATTTTCCTTTAAAATAATGCCATTGATGTCAAATGTTGTCACTTCATTATTAGTAACAAATTGCATAAACAAACATAAGAACTACTCAGAAGAGAGTGAATGCATTTGAGTGGGATTTTCTAGTCCAAATAACGAAGTTATTCACGTAAAGAATTGATTCTCCCCACCTCTCTTTTCATCCTTTTTCAGTAGTCACAATCTAAAAATAAAATGTCAATATTTTCTTTCCTCTGGACAATAAGTAGACTTCTAGTGATTTTCCTCCAGCACAAATCAGCTATCTTCTTCCAAAGATGTACCCTCGACCTGTATATTATCAATAGACACACTACTTCCAATACCTAAGTTCAAAACATCACACTTTATGGGCACAACCAGATCACTGCCTTTAATCACCCCAGAAAAGCACTTAAATCCCAATAGAGTCCAACCTCAGCCTCCCATGCCATCACCCTTCTTCCTCCAATTTGCATTCTGAGGGCCATCCTTACAAGAACTCCTTCCCTGCCCTCAGACCTCTCCCCCTCTGCTGCTGCTAGGGTGATCCTCATTCCTGTTTAAACTCATCCCTCCTCTTCCTTTGTCTATACCTGAGAAGAAAGAATATGGCTAACTAAAAAAAAAAAAAAAACCTCCAGAAAAACGTAGATAGACCTCCCTTCACATTTATGACCACACATTTCAACTAGACTCCCACTAACACCTGGAAAGCTAAATGAGGTCCCCAGTCAGAACTTTCTCCCACTTATTCAGGTGACTACTGGCACATTCTCTCCATTCCTCAAACAGCCAATACACACTCTTCTTTTTTTTAGAGAGAGAATTTTGCTATAGGGTATGTGTGCTTGCTGGAAAGACAGAGAGAAACAGAGAGACAGAAAGCAAAAAACCACCCCTCCTCAAGGGGGATGGCCATGCCACAATCTCTTCTCTTCCATTCTCCTCTATGCATTTTGGGCATGCACGTGCATGTGCCTACTGTTTTAAGCCACCAGGTCTGGGACTCAGATCACAATCAGCTACATGGGAGTCCAGTGATGAAACCATTATGCCATCTGCTGATCTGCCCAATACACACTCTTAATAGATGACTTTGATTCTTATTTTATTGGGAAAATAGAAACAATCAGAAAATTCTCTTTTCTATCTGTGACTCTAAATGTAGACTCAGCCATCTCTTCTCTTCTCTTATGACAGCCTAAGCATCTCTATGGCTACCTAAATCCATCTTTTCTCATTTATCCAACTTTGATACAGTTATTGCTCTGTCTTCCACATCAACCATCTACTGAATCATTCTCATCAGCATTCAAACATGTCAAAAATCTTCCATCTACAAATGAAGAGACTTCCCCTTGATCTCTCAACTCTTTCTAGTAGCTCTACCCTTTTCTAGGTATCTTTTCAGTATATTTCTGAGATTTCCTTCCTACCTGGCCGCTAAAACAGCTCTTGTTAAATTTCCAATGACCTTCACCAATCCAGTTCCCAAGTCTTAAACCTCATTGTCCTCAATTGTCAGTGGCATTCAGTACAGTTCATTTTTTCTTGAAAACTTTACAGTCATAGCTTTTCAGTCATGTTACTTTCCTTATTTTTCTACCTCATCACTGGCCGATCTAATTCTTTGCCCCTCCCAATCTTTAAAATTAGTTCACTCAAAGATTGTGATTGAGGTTTCTTCTCTTCCATACCCACAATCCATTCTCTATGTGGCCTTACATGGTCCCTGAACTTTGAATATCACCTTTTAGCTGCTACTTCCAAGTTTGTATCTTGATGTATCTAGCTCTGATGTCTCCCTGGAACTTCAGGCTCACATATGCATCTGCATACTTAGTATCTTCAGTTGAATGGGTAGTTTTCTGCCTCAAACAATTTTTTTCCCTTCCCGTAAATAGCACTGCCATGTACTCAGTTTCTCCATCCACAAACTAAGAAGTTATGCTTCTATTCTTCCATTTCATCATCCTTACATCTAATCTATCATCAAGTCTTGTTGGCTCTACATTTAAAATATACCAAAATTTGTCTCTCCTGACAACTTTTATACCCACCATGATCTCTAAGTTGTAGCTGTGCATTAGCCTTCTACCAGTCTCCCTGCTTCCAATCTTACCTCCATAGTGGATTCTCCACACACCAGCCTGGAGCATGGAGAAAAAAAAATTATATATATATATATATATATATTCGAATCAGCCTTCCATCTGGCTATGTGGGCACAACCATGTCTAACAGCCAAGGACAGAGATCACCTACCTCCACACTATTCTGAACAGCTGTGGAAGTCACTGGTGTTCTCTCCAAACATTTCTTCCACTCTACCTTCCAGGCACATAGTAAAATTATATTTTCCATCCCTCTTTCAAGATAGCTTTGGCAATATGACTTGCTTTGGCCACTGAAATTTGAGGATAAGTGATGTGTGTTACTTCTTGGTGAAAGCCAGTGCAAAATTTGAGTTGTTTCCTCCCGGTGTCAAGAGGATCATAGAAACACAGGCTAAAGATAAGCCTCCTTCAGTGGTGTCTTGTGTAACTCTGGTGAGTAGAGACCCCCTGTTAATCCTTTCTGGAGATGTAATATAAGAACAAGAGTGAGAGAGATGAAGGAAGGAAGGAAAGAAGGAAGGAAGAAATTTAGACTATGTTTAGCTACTGAGAGTGAGGGATGTTTGTTTTTACAACATAGCTTTGCCCCCCCTCTTAGAGCTGAGGATCTGAGGAAGGGCTGGCAACTCTATAAACTTTGACATTCACAGTTCAATTAGAGAAGATTTCTTGAAAAAGCAGGATCCATGATGAGACAGTAGAGGCAGGTGCTGAGACAGTAGGAGAAGAAGCCCTTGCAGAAACTGATTCATCCTAAAACTCTTGCCTGGTCTTTAACGTCTTCAGAAACCAAGTCTGCCACAGAATGTCTATGTCTTACCCTGCAGTTCCTTGAAGTTCCAGCTAATTAAACTCTGAATCTGGGGGGTTGGCCTTGTCCAGCAGTTCTCCCTGTCATCCAAATAAGCACCTACCAATGGCTTTGCTTCTCTTTCTTCTACCCTGTGACATTAATCATGTCCCCAGATGGACTGAAATATGTGGGCCATAGATAAACAAAGAGCTGTCTCTGAAGGATTTATTCTAAGAATTCTAAAACTGGGAACCAGCAGTTAGCATAATGGCTATGTCGCTGGACTCCCACGTAGTCGACCGCGGTTCGTGTCCCAGATCCGGTGGCTTAAAACTCATGCCGGGCGTGTGTGCGTGCGTGCCCAAGATCCCGACAGGAGAATGGAGGAGAAGGGAGTGCAGTGTGACCATCCCCCCGGGGGGTGATTTCTCACTTTCTGTCTCTATGTCTGTCTTTGTCTGTCTGGCGAGTGCACGCCCCCTATAGCGAAAAACCTCTCCAAAAAAAAAAAAAAAAAGGAATTCTAAAATTAATTTTCTTCCATGCCTGGACTATAAAAAAAGAACATGAGATAATCATTAAAGGAGAAAATTCTAGTGTTTTCTCTACTGTCTACAGAACACGGAAATCACACAGTCCTCCCAGTTATCATTTCTCCCCATTGCCAGTCTCAAAATTTAAATGAAGTATTAATAAATTTGAAGAAGTTTCAGGAAACACTGGGATACTCCATGCCTTCATGTATTTACTCTTGTCCTTCCCTTGACCTGGAACAGCTTTCCTCTCCTCCTCTTCCCTCTTTCTCATACCTCAGCTCATGCCTCCAGGTATTCTCACACTATACACTTCCTGAGACAAGAGAATGTGTTGGTCTTGTTCATGCTGTGCTCCTAAAACATTAACTGCTTCATACAGATAGCAGATTCAAGACTATAAGAATGAACAATGAAAAGGCCTAGTCTAGAACCAAACGTTACAGAAAGGCCTGCCTGAAAACATCCATTCCTATTGGGGATTCCTTCATATGGTCTCCTATAACACCTCTGTACCTTATACCTACCTCGTCTTTGCATCTCTAACACTGTGTGGTGATGTTCTGTTACTCAAAGCCAGAGGACATCTTTGCCTGAGTGAGAACTCAGAGCCTGGCTTGTAAAATTTCTCCATAATTGCCTCCCCTAACTTTTTTCCTTTTGTCTGTTCCTTGGCCCTCTACAAAGGCTCAGCACCTCAGGCCCAGGTTGGAAGGGAAGAACTCTTAAACCTTAACAAGAAAATGAGTTCAGCTCAGGGAACTATATTGGGGAGAGAGATTGGTGCCTTTCAGGGTCCATGCAAAAGACAGAATTCTTCACTTCTAAGCAAAATGGCAAAAGGGAAATACAGGTCTTCAAGCCAGTGATTTATTCTGTATCAGAAACGAATTTACCTGGCCTATTTTGCTGAACAGAAAAACCTCAGGTTCACTTAGTAAAACTCAATCTGAATATTTCTATCCTTTATTTCCATACAGATTAGCTTCATATAGCCTCAAGTATAAACATCACAGATTGGCTCACAGGTTCTATGGGGGAAATAGGCGGTGGCGTGGAAGGGAGATCACCGCTATTTTAAGTTTCTCCATGGTTCCGCAGGCAAAGCAACAAACAAAATAAGAAAAGTTTATTGATTAGTTTACAAATAACTGTTGTATAAGAAAAGATACTGAATGGCAGGCTGGCTCACCGATGGCTTACTTTTCGAGGCCCTTTTCATTCCGTGGCCTTGGGAGATGGTCTCAAGGGGGAAATAAAAGGAGCAAAGCAAAGGTGTTGTCTGGATAAGAGTTTGCACCAGGTTACAAGAAAACAACAACAACAACAACAACAAAAAAAAAACACAAGTAAACAATACCTTTTATGTGTTGCTGATGTAGAAGTGTACCAGTGTATCCCTACTCTCTTCCATCTCTTCATAAAATAATTTTTTTACATGTTTTCATTTCCATCCCCTAACCAACACAGTAAAGCTTTAGGCATTGGACTGTATGATGAACGTAACAAGCTCTGATATGGGCCTCCAGTCACCAGCCATTCATGGAGCAATGTTGGAAAAAGAGCAAACGGCAAATCCGCGTCCTTCCTGGACTTGTATCTGAAGACTCCTGACCTAGAGAAAGAGAAGTTCATTCAGGTGAGAATGTTGTACCTGGAAAAAAAAATACAAAACAATGCCAGAATTCAAGCCCTGCTCTGCCCTCCTGTGACATTATGAGACGGTGGCTGGTTATTTCACCTCTCTGAGACTCAGCTTCCTCATTTGGGGAAGGCTTGTTAGGAAGATTCACTGAAATAAGATGTGTAAATGACTAGGACATGGTATACTTTGGAGCAGTGGCCAGTTAAGCATCCTATGACTGGTCACATGAAGCTTCTAGTGAGAGAGAGGGACCCAGTTATGAGCCAGGAAGATACTGAGGGACCTGCTGGGCCCTGTTCAGGAGTTTGGTCTGGTGTACAAGATAGCAAGTTTTAAAAAGTGAGAGGATTTAAAGAAAACCATTGAGTAAACCATAGTTTACAAGTTGAACACTGAGGTGGACTAGGAGTCCACAACTGTTTAGATTGGGAAGGCCAATGACTTTGTTCTTTGGTCATGATGTATGTGTTCCATGGCCCGGGGAAAAACAGTTCACTGACGTTTACTGAAAGGGTTGGAGAAAGGTTGAAAGGGAGTGGGTACCAATTCTGTTGCCATTTGATTTGTCTACTGTGAGGTCAAAAAACCTGTAACCACCACAAGGAAAAGCTGTTGCAAGGCTAGGCCCACAATAGGGAAATCAATCAGTTCTCTACACAGAAATATCTAATCCATGGGGATTAATATAGCACAAAATCCACACCCATATAATTTTTCTTCTAAAGTGCACTGGACTAAAGTTGCTAATCATTGTTTGCTCAACATTTGCACATAGGGAGAATACGAAGTATGAATATAAAGCAGTAGCTACACAGACTCCTTTCCTCAAGCTTAATCTCACAATTTGCTACGTATTATATTAATCATATTACATGTTATATATATTACATATTGCTTTTATATTATATTTTCATGTGTTACATATTTATTAATTTATAATATACCATACATAAACATTTATGTTGTAAAAATTATGTTAATTGAAGATAATTTTGAAAATGTACCCAAGGAGGAAAATTGTCACTGAGTTCTGATAACTATTGGCAATATTATATTTTATTTTCCATTCTAGTCTTTTACAATTTTATTTTTTAAAGAGTAGATGGACCGTTTGTTGTTGTCATTAATGTAACTTGGACCTTAAAGCTTGAACAGTCTTGTTTCCTGCTTTTTTATTTAACTAGGACTTTTAGCAATAACATTTTCTAGGATGTTAAGGACTTCAATAGCTCTATGGCTAATAGATTTAGCATTTATAGACCAAGAAAATGGCAATATTAAACTTAAAGGAAGCTCTCAATATTCTTTTTTTTTTTTTTTTGGAGAGATTTTTGCTATAGGGTGCATGCGCTTGCCAGACAGAGAGAGACATAGAGACAGAAAGCGAGAAATCACCCCCCAGAGGGGATGGTCACACCACAATCCCTTCTCCTCCATTCTCCTCTCGGGATCTTGGGCATGCATTCACACGCGCCTGGCCTGAGTTTTAAGCCACCGGGTCCGGGACATGAACCGCGGTCGACTACATGGGAGTCCAGTGACATAGCCGTTACGCTAACTGCTGGTTCCCTCAATATTCTCTTAATATAAGTAACAATTTAGTAAACATTTTTCTTTTCATAAATACTTTTTCATTTTCAGATTGTGTCTTCAGCCTAAACCTAGAAGGTCCACTATCCAACTCTTTCTAAGACCAACCTGCCACCAGAAAGTTGCTGCTGATTTCTGCCATTCTTGTCAGAGTGTGAGTTTCCACTGCTCTCTATTATCTCATTCCCTAAATACTCGTGTTAAAAAGAAGAAGTTTGGGGGTCCCAAGTGATTTGGTAGTTAAGGTGTTGGACTCTCACATGCTTGACCACAGTTTGAGTCCCATACTCAGTGGCTTGAAATTCACACTGGGCATGAGTGTGTGTGCACACAAAATCCCAAGAGGAGAAGGGATTGCATCATGGTCACCCCCACTATAGGGGTATTTCACATTTTCCCTCTTTGTGTCTCTGGTGGGTGCACATGCCCAATAGCAAAAACCTAAAATAAATAATAAATTAAGAATTGTATTAACTTAATCAGTGTAAATGCTTTGTTCTCATGTTTGTTAAGTAGATATTGCTCCTATTGAATTGCTTTTTAATACAATTCTATATTTATTTTTTATATAACTCTTAAAGAGTTATTATTGCTTTTTCATTGGTCCTGTGTTGGGTGCTGATTAATCTCTAGCCCTTTAAGTTGAAGTACGTTATCTGCAGATTTTCCCATGCCCTGAAAAGCAATTTATCTGTTTCAAATTATAACATCGATAACAATGGTGATGATGATGATAATGGTGATGATATCATCTTTGGACATACATGAAAGAAGGAACACAGAAGAAGTGGGGCCAATTTGTTTTGGAAATTTTGAGATGTGTGTCTAGGCAAGCCTCCTCCCTGACACCCCTTCCCCAGTCTGTGGGGACAGATTTGGGCTTGTGTGGCATTTGAATACTCTTGATCTGCTCTTATGTAATAAGTGTGAGTCATGTTCCCCTGTGAGTCACCCAATCCCTTGCCTGGGGCATCTCCTCCAGGCTTGCAGAGTTTCCCACCTGCTTTATCCCTGTCTGAATAGAGATGGCATGATTCAGCATGGGGAAGGGTGGTTCTTTCTGTCTGGCTGATGTCCTCAGCCCGAGGAAGCTTTGGCTCAAGGCATGACAGCTGAGAGGAAGGCCATGCTACTCACGTCAGCAATGCCCCTCCAAGGGAACCTTATGCAGGAAGGGGCAGCCCAGAGCTAGCCTGCCCTCACCACTTAGCTCCTGGGTGTGGAGAGGAAACAGAAAAACACAATGTCTATTTAAATCGTTAGTGAACTGTTCTTTCTTTCTTTTTTCTATTTTATTTTATAACTTATAATTTACATTTAATTCTACATTTTTGTGGGGGCACAACATGGATTTTCAAAGCATACATGAGTAGATAAAGCATTTGATAAAATACAACATCCTTTCATGATTAAGACTTTAAGTAAGATTGGTATAGAAGGGTCATCACCCAACACAACAAAAGCCATATATGAAAATCCTATAGCTAATGTTATACTGAATGGGAAAAGCTAAAAACTTTTCCACTAAAAATTGGTACTAGACAAGGCTGCCCACATTCTCCATTGCTTTTTAGTATAGTGCTGGAAGTCTCAGCCAATGCAAACAGAAAAGAGAATAATATAAAAGGCATTCAAATAGGCAAAGAAGAGTTGAAAATATTTTTATTTGCAGATGACATGATGGTATACTTAGAAGACCCAAAGGTTTCCATGAAAAAACTTTTCAAAGTAATAAATGAATACAGTAGAGTGACAGAATACAAAATCAACATCCAAACATCTATAGCATTTCTATATGTGAACAAGTTGAATGAAGCAGAGCTGAAGAAAGGAAATCCTTTTATCATAGCCATAAAATGTATAAGATACCAAGGGATAAACCTAACTAAGGAAACCAAAGGCCTTTACAAAGAAAACTATAAAAATCTTTTAAAAGATATTGAAAAGGACATAAAAAAGTGGAAGGACATCCCATGTTCCTGGATTGGAAGAATTAACATAATCAAAATGACAATTCTACCCAAATTAATCTACATATTTAATGCAATTCCAATCAAAATACCAGAGACATTCTTCACAGATCTAGAAAAGACAGTCATAGAATTTGTCTGAAATAAAATAGCTATGTCACTGGACTCCCATGTAGTCAACTGTGGCTCGAGTCCTGGACCCACTGGCTTGAACTCACACCAAGTGTGTGTGCATGCGTGTCCAAGATCCTGAGAGGAGAATGGAAGAGAAGGGATTGTGGTATAGCCATTCCCCCTCAGGGGTGATTTTTCCCTTTCTCTCTCTCTGATTCTCTCTACCTTTCTGGAGAGTGCATGCACTCTATAGCAAAAATCTCTCAAAAAAAAAAAAAGAAAATTATCAATGATAATATGCATGATTAAGCCACTATGCAGTATATTCTGGATGGGACACCACATTGTGTATACTGTGATAATGCTTAGCGAATTCATGTAAAATAATTAATTTAAAAATGTCTCAAAAAAAATCTCATAGAAATACGTGTAATGGGAAAACTATGTATGAATTTCAAAAAATTTTGGTACCAAAATAAATTCATACAAATGAAAAAGAATTTGTCCGAAATCATAAAAGACCTCATATTGCCAAAGCAATCCTTCACAAGAAAAGTGGAGTGGCAAGCCCCAAAATGTACAATATATATTTTATATACTATAAAGTTGTGATAATCAAAACAGCATGGCATCGGCACAAAAACAGACAGGTGGACCAATAAAATAGAATAGAGACCCCAGAAATAAACTCCAAAACTTACCACCAACTAATTTTGACAAAGGATACCAGTCAATCCATTGGGAAAGGAAAACCTTTTTAGCTAATGGTGCTGGAAAAAACTGGGATTCCACCTGCAGAAAGATGAAATTGAATCTTTATCTTTCACCATTAACAAAAATCAACTCAAAATGAATAAAATATCTGAACCTAAGATCTCAAACTATAAAAAACTGGTAGAAAACACTGGGGAAACTCTGGAGTAGGTTAAGTCTTCATAAATAAGACTCCCAAGGCAGAGGCAACATTCTAAGCACAGGCAATAATCCCTAAAATAGACAAGTGGGACTATATTAGACTAAGAAGTTTCTGCACAGCAAAGGACACAGTAACAAGTGTGAACCGACAATCCTCAGAATGGGAAAATATTTTTGTTAAATATGCCTCAGACAAGGGACTGATAAACCAGAATAGTGGCTTACCCAAAAAAAAAAAATCTAACCCAATTAAAAGATTGGAAAATGAGCTGAACAAATATCTAAGGGAGACATATGAATAGCCAAAAAGCATATGGGGAAATATTCAACATTCCTCATCATAAAGAGATGCAGATTACAACTGCAATGA